CAGCCCAGTGCATATGGGCACAGATGTAGTGGGGTGGCCACTACCTCCCTGAGGAACAGACTCATGTATTTGGCATGTATTCCACTTTTATTTATCCTGGATATAGTAGCTTTTTTTATTATTATTAAAAAAAAAAAAAGAAAAAGCCCTAATTCAAGAGAAAGAAAATGGCAGACAAAAGGATGGAGCTGTGGCCGTACTGCAACTCCCTGCATACCCACCCTCAGAAATCAGTTTGCTGAAAGGGCTGAGAATTTGCTTGATGTTGCCCAAGAAGTCAGTGTCAGGACAGTGAGCATTCTCAGCTACACAGGGACACGAACAGATGATTTATTGCACTCCATGAGTTCTACACCTGGAAATTATGAGGAGCAAAGTCTAGCCTAGAAATACAGCATTTTTGTATATAAAGTGGCAAAGCAGTTTGGCTGTAGTCTCATCACTCACTGTTAATCTGAAAGTGTTTTAAAAGTATGAAATTCTACTGGTAGATACTTTGGAATTCATTCCCTCCCTTTTTCTGCCAGACCCTTGATTGTGTAACTTTCTGGAAGTGCTGAAATGCTAATCCTTCCCATTCAGCCATTTGGGCAGGGATGGGATGGAAAGCCTGTGTGGTCTGCCACAGGGTTAATTATGGTGGTTTATGCATTGCTGTACTGACATGAGAGCAGTCTGATACTTTATTCTTTCTACTGCATAATTCAACTATTGTCAGACATCAAACCCACACAATATAATACAGCTCTGTAAAGAGAGGGAATTCAATGAAATAAGACATGGAATATGAGCAATGCCGAAGGATAAATAGAAGCCCGAGAGACACCATCTTCCATCTAGGCTTCAAACCCACGCTGGCAAACCCAGAGTGGCCACTCAGAAAAAGAAAAGCACGTCAGGCCTACCATGATGCTTCTTCCACTTCCAGCTTCTGGCAATCTGCCAGTTAGGGATTTCCTGAGCCAGAGGTTGCATCTGCATCAGCATGTTTAATAGCCCCTGCTGGACCCATTTTCCATGAATTTGTCTAATTGCTTCTCGAATCTATAACTGTCAGCAATAAGTTCCACAACTGAATTATGCACTCTGTGAAAAAGCACTTCTAGATGTTGTGCACTAAAGTAGCTGCCTGAAAATTCCCTTCATTGACCCCTTAGTCTTGTATTACAAGGGGACAGTCATTTCCAATTCACTTTTCCCATGTCATTTCTGACTTTACACACACCTGTATTACTTCCAAGCTGAACTGATCTATTTTATTTAACCTCTCCAAGGAAAGTCATTTAATAACTATACTCATCCTTGTTGCCCTTCTCTATACCTTTCGTATTTCTGTCTTCAGAAATATGCTTTTCAAAACAATTGTACTCCTGCTCATGACATGGGTGGATCATGTTTGCAAGTTGCATAAGGACATTTTTCATTTTGTTGTCTACACCTTACCTAATCATTCCTAACACTGTCTTTTCCCCTTTGTTCTCTGGCTGCAGGCAGGCCATTTCTGTCTGCTTATGCTCTAAGTTCTTCCAAGTAAAGCTGTTCTATGATGAAAAGTACAGGTCCTACTGCACACCAAGGGGCTACAAGACAAACTTTCTGAAGTTAGTCACTGGTAACAAACTCATACACAGGTTGCAAGACAAACATGCTAGCTAGCACTGCCTACTAATGGTGACCTTGTGCCATTTGAGGATCCAATCCAGATATGGGAAATGGTCATGCAAGCCATGCTCGGGTGTGGGGTTAAGACCATCACAGCATTCCATACACAAATCATCATAGAACCAAGGATTCATCATTCACAGATATCTGTACTTTGGAGAGCACTTGCAAAGAGAATCTGAATTAATTTCTAGAACAGATGAACTAAAACACATTGAGTATCTGTGTGGACATCTGTATTCAGAATTAAAGCAGCCCTAATTCAATTTAACTTTCTTCACTTTCAAAGTGAATTAAAGTAAATGTAATTGAGGCTATTTAAATTCTGATTAAGAGTCTTGACATCTGCCACAAGGGAAGCTATATTAACCACAGGGAGTTAATTCACCACCATAAGTGTGAAAACAGAACCAACTGCATAACAAGAAAGCCACAGAAGAAGGAAATCATTAGTCTCTGAATTGTAATAATCACTACAGTGTATGATAAATGCATATTTAATTTGGGAAGCAATATCCTTGCATGTTGAAAAGGTAAGTAGTATTATCTTGCATTGAAGAACAATCCTAAAAACATTTCCAGTTTTTTTTTTCATTATGTAACAGAATTACAATTGTGTCAGAACTCAAAATAAGTTGTTTAAACAAGAGAAATGAAGTCTCATAGCTGTAAATGCAACAGCAACCAAATTTTCCTTGCTAACTCATAGCTCATGCCTGTCCATCTTTATGGAAGCATCATAGAAAACAACCCCAGTTTAAAAACTGTATCACAAAAAAAGTGTGTCATGGTGTTTTTCTTTTCCCTATCAATTTGATGGTTAATTGATTTCAGAATAAGAAAGCTCTTCCTGCCTTGGTGTTGCACATGTTCGAAGTCACATCTGTGAACAGCTCTATGTTTATTGGTGATAAGAGGCTTGTGGATGTCCTTGAAAAATGTCATTGTTGCAACCCAGTTTAAGAGTGCTGTACCTATATATACCAGAACTTGAAGTGTTGGTGAAGATGCACATGCTACGTTTAATTGTAAAATCTGTTTCTTCATAATCTGCTTTTATTATATAACAAGAGTGCCTGAATAAAGAATACTGCTTCAAAGCAGCAAAAGGCTGCCTAAGAGCAAAAGAAGATAGCAGTAGCAAAGGGAATAGGTACCTCCTTTAGACTGTTACACAAGCCAGCAGCTCTTTCCTTTTTTCTGCAGATATGCAAAGTCCTTGTAATCTTTGGGAAGGTTTTCAATGTCCAAGTCCTAAACTGTGCTGTTAGATATTCAGACAGGAGGGGCATATTTGTTTCTAGAAAGAAGTAACCAGGAAAGCCGTGACCTTCCCCCAATGAAATCTTTGACCTGTTCTGGACCAGTAATCACTAAAGCTCTCTTTTGTGTTACATACACATATTTTTTCTAACTTAATCTTCTAAAACTTTACAAGGATTAATGCTTGTTCCTCCCTGTACACCTCATCCCAACAGCTGGATCTCCAGTGGAAATTTCTCTAGTTTATCATAGTGATGCTGTACATGAGAATATGGGTTTTGGCCACGAAATTTGCTCCTTTCTTCCTTCTATGAGGTAAGTCCATTAGAGCTGCACAGTAGAATTAGGGGTAATTTCATACATTTTACATGAGATTTCAGTGGAAGTCTGAAGGCTTTATCTTGGTCCTCCTGCAGAATTGCTTGTCAGAAAGACAATAAAGACACATGGAAAAGTAGCTCACATTGATGGCAACTTTTAGGATAGGATACTGCAAGCTCTGCACCAGTTCTCCTTGTCTACCTCATTAAAACATGTAAACAATATGATCCTGCCTGCACACTACTCCCTTTTATGAATTCCCTAACATAGTTCAGCATTATTTCCAGATAGCACTGGAATCTTCAAATTTGTTATCTTGTTTCAATTACCTTTTACTAACAATCAGAATTTCGAAATATTGCTTGAAATAACAGTACCAAAAAGTTGGCTAGAACAGTGGGAAAAAAAATTCCTATCTGAAACCAAAACACTTCATCCTGAAATCCCTTCAACAGCCCCACTCACACTAAGAGAGAAAAAGATGCTATCATCTATTTCAGAAATATTTTTTTTTTCTTAAAAAATGCTTGTTTACAAAAGGGGAAAAATTCCAAAATGCACAAACACACAAAAAAAAAAAAAAGAAAAGAAAAGAAAAAGAAGTGGAAGAGAATAAAGGGACATAAATATGTAAAGGATACAAGACCTTCCTACCTCATCCCCAGAACTTTCCAGAGCAAGACTAATAACATGATTTTAATGATACCGTTGTAGGAATCAGTTTTCCTACATGGAGTTTCTTGCCTGATAAAGTGATCAAGGCCTCAGACTCTGGTAACTCACAGAGAAATAATATGTGAGGAAAATATAATTTTAATGTCTTCTACCAAAAATAATGCCCAGCTGTGCCCTTTATACCAGCATTTATTAGTTCATTACTTCCAGATAATGGGGAAGTAGCTTTGCTGTGTGGTCGAAAGTGAAGTAGACTGGAGTAGCGAGTTCAAAAGTGACAGAAAAAAAGAATTCCAATAACTCAACTGAGAAGCTTACTGGAAAAGTGGGACTGAAGATCTAAATGCAGGAGGTGGATGATTCAGTAATGAATGGAAGGCTCATTTTGACAGCTTGGGCTGCCATCCAAGCTAATTTGTTTCCAGGCCTTCAGTTTGCCAACTGAAGTGGCTGAGAAATAATAGGCCCCCAAAAATATTTCTAAGGGAACACAATGCCCATTATCACTGAAGGAGAAAGAATCTGCACAATTCAAAGAGGAAAAAGAAATTTGAGATCTGCCAACTTTGGCCAGTTCCAAATGACACAGGAAGGAGCAGTTACAATGTAGTGAAAGGAAAGACGTACACTATTGTTAAATAAATTCAAAGTAAAAGTCATCATAAAAAAATAGACACAATAAATAGAAGGATGTTTCTTTCACAGAGAGGTGATTTTATAGCTAAGCCCATGCGAGCAGCCTACGATAAAGAAAAGAATTTGGGGTATAGGAAAAAATGAATAAGAAATTGGTAAAGAGAAATAGATCATAACAAAATGAGAAATAATGAGACAACCTCTTTATATTTGACTTGGTCATCAAAGAAAACTCTTTATATAAAACTGCCTGGATAATTTATAAACATTAGAGATTTAATTATCTCCTCCACGCAAAGATGGTGTGGTTCCCACTCAAGTCGACAGCAGCATGAAACGTTTTCTGATTATCACAGAGGTTAAGCCTGGGCTTAATTTTCCTTCCAGTCAGTCACACTAAAGACACATCTACACAGGGCACAATTTAGAAATCCTCAACTCACCAGCAAGATCACATGGCGTAGCACCGAGTTTAACAGCGCAGGACAAGAAATGCAACAGCCGCATTCTGCCAACAGGTCAGGCTAGACAGATGCAAACAGTCGTGATGAATGGGAGCTGTGTGTCTCCATAGCCACACTGGAAACGCCTCCACGGCCACTCTGTGTTTTCATACCCTCCCAGATTTATTAAGATGGGCAGCTTATCTAGAAGAGAGAAAAAACACGCAAGATTTGATGAACATTTTCAAAAAGCAGAACAAGAAATTTTGAAGTACTGAGAAAACATTTGCTGTCAATAATAAATACTTACGAATGCTCTTTTTCACCACATTTTTAAGAGAAGTCTGGACATGGGTAGCCTAAACGTTATTAAAATATTTTTAAAATTTTTATGAGTACACATTAAAAATAGTCATTGTTTGTAAAAATATTTCCTTGTTATAATGTTTTTTCCATCTAAGAGCACAAAATTGCAGATTTTTTGAACAGTGGTAACACATCTGCTTCAAGATATGCTCAAGGAAAACACTGAATTACCTGCTAGCCTTCACCTGAGGTTTACCTGACTTTTAGCAACTGGAAAACTTGCCCTTCTCTCTCGATACACACTTGTTGCTACAAATACCTTCCTTTTTTGCCATCACAAAAGCAAACTAACATTTTGCTAAGATACTTGTCAGCCTTTTGGATGATGCCCTCTCAGTGAAGGGAATCACAGAATTACAGAATGGCCCAGGGAAGGCCCTGGAAGGGACCTCAAGGATCATGAATCTCCAATCCCCCCACCCATCACAGGAGGGCCACAATCTATCACTGAAGGTTATTTTTTCTACTACTACAATTGTACTACCAGGCTACTTAATTAAATGGGCATTCAAAGCTAACGTGTCCCCTTAGGGTATAGCTAAATTGCAATGGGAAGGTATGGCTGCAATATATTCAGGCACACCCTGCAGAGTTTTCATCTCATGAGAATCAGTAGCAACAATGCTACAACTGAGCTGACTTCAGTGCAGGCTGTTCCACTGCTCACATACTCACACAACTGTTTCACTTCTTTATTTTTATAATAACAACCAGATTAATATTAGCTACCTTAGAATCAAGGCCAGCACTGAACTTGTCAAACGTTTGAGAAGATAAGGAGTCCCTTCCCTTCCCAATTACCCAGTGATCTTTTACCTAACTTAATTTCAGTCTTCATAACTGCCCTGCTGCTTGCCCCTAAAGCCAATAGTGTTTCCATGTGCTCATTTGCAGCAAAGGTACACTATTAATTCACTGTCATACCTTGCGGTGCTTTCATGTCAGTTGGTTTCATGGGTGGTCACCTCTCCAAGGCAGAGCCCAAGGGTTTATTCAATACCTTGCAAATTGATTCTTCCTCATGAGAGGATACTGGCGGGATGCCACTGCAACAGAAATAACCATGTTTCCGGAGGTGAGATTGTTTTCCTTTACTCAATAAGCTGCATCTTTACAATACTCTGCTATTGGAAATACAAGTATTTAATGAAATTAACATTTCAACAGAATTCTGACAAAGCAGAATGTTTTGCTGATAGATGAACAGTATCCTGACACACTTAAAAAGATTAATATTTGTGAATTTTGACATAACTACTGATTTCCTCAACAGATTTAAAGTCTAAGTTTATCTTCATGTTAATCCAATTTCATGCCTAGAACAGAGCAAGCATAACAGAATGTCTTTAGTAACCTTCTGATATCATTAATTATTGCTACATTGGGAGTTACAGCATGGAACAAACAGGTTTTTAAAAGGAAATCATTTGTCTCTCAGCAGGGAGACTCAACAGTTTTATTTCCTCCAACACCAAGCTGCATTCAAGTAATCTTGTTTCATGGTGATCTTCCCTGGACAACCTCTAAGTCAATGGTGAAATCCCATCTATTTTGTCCCTGGATTGGTCAAATGTGCTGCCCGTAAGGGGAGGTGTCTATTTCCTCTCCTAATTATGTAGGAAGGGTTTTCTATATGTTAAGGCCATGCTTTCCCCAAGCTGTGGGCATTTGGTCAGGTTTCCTGGTGATTTTCCACAAAAGGAAATCCCCTAACTCATTAAAAAAAAAAAATAGATTAATTGACCGGTTCAGTAACAAGCTGCCCCAGGACCCAATAAACTTTACAAAGGGTACATTCCAATTACAACTGGGCTCAGCATGAACCTGATAAGTAAGCCAGCATAATCTTTCTTCAGCATAAAGGATTTTCTTTTTCCTATTTTTTTCCTCCTCCCTCCCTCCCAGTTTAACTCCTTCTCAGCACTTGTGGATTGAGTAACTTCATACTTCTCCTTTTCTTGTCAATGTGAATCCTACCGAATAATTCCCAGCAATGTGATCTATTAAGTTCAGTAAAAACTACCAACAGCCTACAGTCACTTTCTTTGCACTGCTGCAGCCTTGAAAGGAACAGCTACAGCCTTCTTCCACACTTTGCCTGGTGTCATTAAGTGAATCCAGATCTCAGACCAGGAGTGAGAAGAAGGAAAGTGATCTCACAGTATACACATCTGGTGGAGCAATTGGAGCTGCTTGCTTGCAAAGTACAGCTGTAAGCCTGCTTTCACTATGTCAGAGGGTCGGGAAGGATGCAGGGTTTTTCAGTAACAAGCATGATTTTAACAGCAGGAGAAGGAAATATGAGGCAGACGTCAAGCTAGAGAGACAAAAACAAAAGGTATTGGCTATAAAACATTTGTTTTATATTCTCAAATGTTAGACTTCCACAGCAGTAGAAAATCCAGACACTAGAATGAGAACCAGAGGCTGAGGTACTCCTGAACCTTTTGCATCCAACTTGTACTATGGCACAGTCTAGAGAAGAAACTAGTATTTAGTAATACGTAAATATCATGTGTGAGGGGGCTGGTTAGCCACAAAGAAGAGTTTCCAGCTCTAGGTCTTTGCAGTAGTTCCTCACCTGAGGCTAAAAGCTGCTTGTGGATACATAAGACAGTGCTCTTCAGCTCTATCCCCTCTGCCTAAAAGGAACACTGCAGAAGTTCAGGCTCCAAACATAGGGTTATCCTCGGATAGAGACCATGTGAGCACACTGGAAGTGCCTGAAGGTGGCTCAAGCATTCATTAGGCATCTCCTCCAGGGACAGAAGCAGAAGTCCCGTGAACTGCAACTGCTCTGCAGAACCCCCAGGCTGAGCTTCTGCTACACAGCCTGGCTTGGGTGCTGAACCCCAGCTCTTTCACTGAATTGAACACTACCGATTCAAGTCTGTATTCAAAGAGGCTTATTTAGAAAACAATCACTGGTTAGCTGGCTAATCTCTGTAGAGCACATTTACACACCTGCCTGGTAGTTACTGCTACTTTTAAGACACAAGAATGCATAGACATTTGTACAGGAGACACAAACTGTTTGGATTTATATCTGCTTCTGCTCAGATTTAGAATATCATTTTCATACATTTATTACGCCTAGCCTGTGCTGCATTGCTTACAGGAACAAGAATAGCTATAATTATTGTTGTCAATCAAAGTTTCTCTGAAGTCCTCAGCTTTAGTGTTTCAATAACTCATTTTTACCAGTGGCAAATGTCTTCAACAAACACTAGAGCCTAATTTGCAGTTTGGTTCCCTTGTCACTTTCTGAGTCATCTTGGTGGAATGCTGTGAGGCAAGAGATTCATTTTAGGACTTTTTTCATCTTCACTTTCCTTACATCTGAGAGCTGTTAAGAATTTTGTTTTCAATAGCTCAGACATATCCATGGTGTTCCACAGGTACCGAAGGTGCAATGAAATACAAAGTTTATTCTACTTCAGTACAAGAATACCTGATATACTGTTCCAAAGTCAGCCCTAGCACCTGCAGGTGCAGTTGGCATTGGTTTCACTGGAATTACAGTTGCTTAGTACTGGTGCTGGATTTAGCTGCTTAGAAGCAAACACCTCCATATTACATAGGGCTCAACAGTGACTGCATACCCTGTGGTGTAAATAAGAAGTAATTCCTCCAATGATGTGCAAACCTCAAGGTAAACATCACCCTCCCAAAATAGCTGAAGTGCAAAAAATAAATGTGATACAATGCTGATGGATTTATAGGTAACTGACAGTTTTCTCCTCAGATTCTTAATCAGGTGTCATTGAGAGGCGCTAATATAATTAGAGATGAGATATGGATTAATAGGAAGAAAATATCATAACCTCACTCTCATAATAGAGCAGTCCATACACTGCACTTACCTGCAAACTGCACCATTCTTCTGGTAGCATGACATTTGCTAAAGAAAAAGCCTGTTGATAATTCTCTATAGTCCTATATAGCACTCTGCCATGGCTGCTCTTCAAAAGGCCATATTTATCCCCTGGGAAATATAGCTGTATTAATATGACATTTTGTCACAAATTAATCTTAAACGGGATAATATTTTTGACACCGAGTTGAAACTGGAACTAAAAGGCAGTTCAGGTGGTTAAAGTGGCAATATGCTGTAGCAGACTTATGTTCCCTGAGATAATACTGTTATGGTGTAAGTACCATTGCACTGGGGTGTACCAATACGGACAACTGTGCAAGTCTTTCTTCATTTTAACAATAGACATACAGGATCACCGGCCTTCTACTCTTTATTACAGTTGGTAGTACAGCATTGCCCATGATCCCAAGTATCAGAGCCTATGATGACAGGTGCAGTACAGAATAACAAATCTTGTGTTCAGAAAAGCAGCCAAGACAAGTAATTAGCACCTCATCTACCTTTATGATGAGATGTACTGCAGAAAAGTAGACAGACGGTTCAACAAAGATTAAAAAAAATAAATAAATAAAACCTAATTTCTCATTAAAGCGATTAAAAGTGGCCTGGTCTGGTTTTTTAATTGATGTCCCATGGCACAAGTCAGACATGACGAAAGGGATTCTCTGTGATGTACTCTCTTTCCTGCTGTGGAAGTTCCCAGGCTTCGTAGAGTTCATCAATGCCAGGCTAATTAACACAATGTAATACTGCCACTTACACCCATTTCCCAATTCATTTGCACATAGCTTCCACTTCTACAGAAATCAGGGTAAATTCATCGCACAGATTTCCACAGGAGTTGACCCCATTATACAAATGAATGCTGTTAACCTTTTCTATTCCTTTCCTCCAAACAATGTGATGCTGATGGTCACCAAACATGACTGGTGATTTAGTGTACCA